AGGGAGAGTGTCCAGGTGTTCAGTGGTCAGCTATGAGCATAGCGGGAGAGGGCTGTCATGACCTCAAAGCTCAGCGTTTTACAGGAGGTCTGGGAGCTACATTGGGCAGCTAGGTCTACCCGATCCCAGCTCCTGATGCGACCTCAGCTTCCACTGTAAACCCCATGTGTTGACCCTGAGCTTTGTGGAATGGAGAGAATAAAAGGCCTTTTTTGAGAAGGTGGCAGGGATGGCAGATTCCAGAGAAAGCGATAGGTGAGAGGAACTTTCAGAGAAGAGGCTGAAGCCACACGAGAGTTTGCAGTTCATGGTGTGAGCTTTCCAAAGGGCACAGTGGATGGGTTTGCAATGGAGAAAAGGATGGAGGAAGGGGGCAAGGATGGGTCAGAGACATGGGGAGAAGAACTGAGCAATAAGGCAGTGTGTAGTTGTGGAGTTATTACAGATATGCATATCTGTAAGAGGTTTTCGTCCACAGTTCCTGGCTCATAACTCCCATAGCCCTTACTACAGTCTTGTGTTACAATGTTGAGTGTGTTAGACCTCAGGGGCAGTCCTCAAAAACAGAATCTTTCGGCCGGGCACGGTGGCTCACGCCTGTAATCCTAGCACTTTGGGAGGCCGAGGCGAGCAGATCACCTGAGGTTGGGAACTTGAGACCAGCCTGACCAACATGGAGAAACCCCATCTCTATTAAAAATACAAAATTAGCCGGGCGTGGTGGCGCATGCCTGTAATCCCAGCTACTCGGGAGGCTGAGGCAGGAGAATCGCTTGAACCCGGGAGGTGGAGGTTGCTGTGAGCTGAGATCGCGCCACTGCACTCCAGCCCAGGCAACAAGAGTGAAACTCCGTCTCAAAAAAAAAAAAAACAAAATCTTTCTGACCTACTCCCCCCACCCCTTTCACCTGCCCCTCAAGGCAGGACTCTAATCTTGCCCCCACCCCACCTTTCTGATTGTGGGTTTTAGGACCCTCCCCAGGGAAGCTCTTGTCCTATACCCTGGGGAAAGAATGTGGGTGTCTTGAAGCTTCCACAAAAACCCAAGAGGGCTAGGTTGGGGAGCTGAACATGTAGGGGCTGACAGGCAGGTGAAGGAGAACTCGTTCATGTACTGAGAGAGTGGTGCACCCCAGCTCCACAGGGTCAGAAGCTCCTGCACTAGGGACCTTTCCACACCTCGCGCTATGCATCTTTCTCTGCCTATTTTTATCCTTTAAAGTGTCCTTCGCGATGAACTGGTAGCTGTGTTTCCCTGAGTTATGTGAGCCACTCTAGCGAATCAATCGAACCCAAAGAGTGGGGTGGTGGGAGCCTCAACCTGAAGTGGATTGGTCAGAAGTTCCGGAGGCCAGCCCTCTGCCTGGGAGAAGGAGGGTTCCGTCTGGAGGATCTGACACTATCTCCCAGTAGACAGTGTCAGAATCGAGTTGGAGGACACCAGCTAGTGTCCGCTGCTTGGGGATTCCCCCACGCCTTTGCTCACAGGAGCCTTCTGCATTGATGACTGTAGTTATGTTGCTGTAAGTGAAGAGGAAAAACTCAATTTGGGAGTTTTTTTCAAACACAGTAGTAAAGAATTTAACACTGCCCAAAAAGAGGTCTGGCTTCTGCCCTCGGCTTCTGAGAGGTGATCTCTAAGGCTCTGAAACATCCTGCCTGCTAGAGGTGTTTTCCGTTGCCTGGGGACATTGGGTCACGGTGTGTGATTTAGAGCAGGGACTGTGAGTGACGTGTAGCGGTGGAGGGTCTGGGAACAGATCGGCCGCATGGGCAGTCAACTGTGCTCCTGTGACAGAATCACAGTAAAGACCCTGGACACCAAGGCTTCCCTGGTGGGGAACACTCCCTGCGTGTTGTCACACGTCAGTGCCAGGAGAGTGGCGCTGTCCGTGACTCCACGGGAGGGGGAGAGGACTGTGGGGGCTCCATGTCGGGCGCTGTCCTGGACTCTGTGCTATGCGTTTCTTCCTTTGGCTGATTTTAATCTGTATTCCCTCCCTATAAGAGATCATAACCATGAGTATAACAACTTTCAGTGAGTTCTGTGAGATCTCTCAGCAAATTATCACAACTCAGGGTGGTTTGGGGAACCCCTTGAACTTGTAGTTGGTGTCAGAAGGCAGGATAGTGTTTTGTGGACTGTGTCCCCTCCCACTTCCAGTTGGCTAAAGGTTCACAGGCCATCACTGACTGTACAAGGGAGGAAGGCTCTTTGCAGGGGGCGCTGATGTTTTAGACAATAACTAAGGAACACAGAGCTGCAAAGTGAGGTAGACTGACCCCCTTAGTCTCTTAAAGCAACACTTCTCAAACGCTAATGTTCATACACACAACATCGGGATCTGATAAAATGCAGATTCTGATTGTACAGGTCCAAGTGCGGCCTGATCCGCATTTTTGATAAGATGATGCTACTGCTCCTTGGAGCACACGTTGAGTGAGAAGGTCTTACATCAACGGTTTCCAGACCGTGTTACATACTGAAATCCCGTAGGGAGTTTTAAATTATCCTCATGTCCAGGCTACACACCATCTAGTGGTATTAGGCTGGCGTCCCTTTCTCATTGCTGCGGTATTGGCAGGTATAGTCAATCAAAGCATGGGGCCAGGTAAAGCTGTGCTGGTGATTGAAAAACACAAGCCAACAATAGAGGTTGAGAGGTTGTGCTTAACAAGGTTGGGAAATACAGAAAAACAAGACTGACAAAGAAGCAAGTAGCTCGGCGTGGGATTCTCCTTGTCCTTGGGGATCTCTTCCTTAGCATGCAGTGGCTATCATCGCCACTCTGACACAGTCCTAGCTACGCAGATTCCCTGCAGCAGCTCAGTTCTGGAGGAGAGCCCAGGTTCAATGGCAAGAGTAGGCAAATGTTGACCCAAACTCAGCATTGCAGTGACATTCTTACCAGGCCGTAAGTGCTGATATTTTACTATGACTGTATTTTTTTTTTATCGCTTTGAATGCTGGATTCGGTAGCTAGGAAAGGACAACCTTAGAGGTCAAAGGGCCACTTGCCTAAAAATAAGGTCCTGAAAAAAAAAAATTACAGAAGCCCAAGGGGATGCTCGTGTGTCATGAAAGGAAACTCCATGGAGGGCTTTTCAGAATGCCTCGGCATCTGAGCACATCCTCCTGGGAAACACCTCCCCAACACGAATGTGGCCTCCACAGAGTTTCAAGAGGAGCCATGGAAAAGGCAGCTGGGGACATTTCCTGGGGAATGGGCCACTTCCCAACCCACAAGTGATGTCCCTGCCTCCCCATCCCACTGTGGGCCTCAGAGGTTCAAACTACCTGTTGCGTCTGCATGGTGTGGACATAGAGGCAGCCAGGGTGAGGAGCAAGCAAGAATGGGCATGCGGATAACCTTGACTCCCAGGGCCCCAGAAGGCACTCACCACCTTCACTCAGGCCACTGCAATGTGGCAGAACTATGCTCCCAAAACTATACTGTTTGTTAGAATAATAAGGAAACTATCATACATTAAGTGCAGTAAATGTGTCAGGCATGGGACTGAGTGCTTTGCACCCAATGTCTCATCTAACATGGACAAAACCTAGTAAGACAGGTATTATATTATAGCCCTTTTTACAGACGAGGTGAAGCTTAGAAAGCCCCAGGAACTTGACCATAGTCACGTGGCAAGTTAAAGCCCGGTTCTCAAAGCCAGGGAAACCCAGCTGTTTCTGAATGCCCAGAGGACTCACGCAACCCATCCAAGGTCACATATTGACCTGGAGAAGGAGCAAGGCAGTGAACCCCAGAGAGAGGACAAGCCTCCTCTGTGTTGTGGTGCCCCGGGACCCATCAGGAAGTGATCTGGCCACAGAGGTGACCCTTTCCAAGCCAAGGGATAGATTCTCAGAACCTTGACACAGCTCAAAGCGGGCAGTACAATGCGTAATAGGATAAATGCCAGGAACGGAGTTGCCCGCAAAGGAAAATGAACACTGTGGCAAGCCCTGAGTTTCCTAACAGGAACCAGAGGCTGTAAGCTAAGTAAAGACATTCAACAAGTGCCCAGGGTGTGACGGTGCAAGCTTAGGAGAGCCTGGGAGCCTTCTCAGAGGCTACAGATGCCCCAGCAGAACGCCCCCCAATGTTTCCCATGTCTAGGATCTTCTCCTCCCCTTTGAAGCATCCAAGACAGCCATCAGCAGGCTGGAGACTATATGCTAGG